TCTGCCAATTGAACTGAACAACGATACCGAACTTTTTCCAAGGTTTCAATTTAACTAAATTAGTAGTTAACTGGGATTGTGATGCGACCTATTGCTACACAGATTTTTTCATGTAATGCAGATTCCTTGGTGCGCTTAATTTTCTTCGCCTTCTCATTTGTGTCTATGCACAGTTAAGAAAGTATTCTGGGGGCAGACTTTATTAGATTAAGGATTTTAATGGAAAATGTGATAGGTAAAGCGATTAATACACGTGGGAGTGTAGAACGAGGCACTTCGATTGAGAACAGAATACAACCAAGAGGATAAATCTGTGTTAGTCATTTTGTGGTATATGCATGTGTTATTGATTTGTTAGATACCTATCAATCGATGGAATCCTAGTCTCAAAGTTTTGATATGTCGTTCATGACCGAACTTTATAAATGTTTTATAGGCTTTGTAGTTACACACCTGTATCTCAGTATTTCGTTAATTACCCCAAGAACATTAACTTTCCACGATATAGGAAGCCGGGAAGTGTCAAACGCTCTTACCTATGTATCAGGACTCAAGTTCTCTGAGATCATTGTCTCAAACTTTGTTCATGCCTCTTGGTCAATACCCCTCCACTATGTCTAATTTTTTCCGTCTCTCCAACTTTTGATGACAAATCAAGTTCACGAAACAGTATCCTTGATTTTGTGAAGCCCCAATCCAAACTACAAATTAAAGCTTTCAATGTCCCTCCCCACTGTTCATCGCATAGGACACCAGAATTTGATCGCTAAAACTCTGGCATATTGTGACATGTACGTTTGTTATGTTTTGAAGACACTCACTGAAGCTCCAAGTGAGTTTTCCCCACCTAATCTTACCCGCCTAATTTGGTGAATCAGTGAAATTCCCTTTTAAAGTTTCTGGAGATTTGATGGCTATTTTTCACCGTGTTACATATGTACGTATAGCAGCAATTCCTATAGCAGAAAGTGTACTACTTAACTGCATCCCAGTTAACAGCCACCTACCAGTGCGCTACTCAACCGAATAGTGCAGTGAAGACCAGAAAGACTGGTGAAATTCACCGCTGTCAAATTGCAATTGCTTTTGACGCACCTACTGACTACAGTTTAGATGAAGCGAAAACAAATGTAGTTATCGTAGCAGGTGATTTCAACCTATGAGTGAGTAGACCTAACCAGGTTTAAAGGTACTTTCGGATGCCCAACTAAACGAACTGATAAGGGCAATCGCCTGCTAAGACTGACCTAAGAGAATTATCTAGTTCTGGTCAGTGCCAACCCTAGATATGAAGACAAACACTGTTTGGCATAGAGCCCAACAACCTCAACTCAGAGGCATACACAGATAGAAAATATTTCTAACAGTTATCTGTTGAGAGGGTCAAAGGAAGACTGCCGTTTCTTCTGCAGCATGTGTTTGGGAAGTGATCCCGTAGTAGCTCAAGCACGCATGCAACTGCGCCTAAATACACGTAGGAAAACTACAGCAACAAGAGTGTAGTGAACGCAGATCAGCGATGAAATTATTGGAGCTGCTTCTAGCAAGAAGCTGGTTAGACAGTTGTCGAAACAGAACAGTATCTTCCATCCTGAATAAGTCTTGCGCCATCTCCGGTCTGTTGTAACAACAGTGTTAAAGACCGTTATTGGTTTTTAGAAAGTAGTTGGAAAAGACCAGTGGATTTCATCAGCTTCTTCTAAATTCATGGGTGGATGTGAAGGCACTTCTTTGAAGGCTCCGAGCACAATTAGGATTGGAAGCAACTAAAGTGAAGACCGATAAAGAGCCTCGAGTTGATCGTGAGAGGTGGTCTACAGTAAAAGACAACAAGACGGAAAAGGCAGCGGCGATACGTGACAACAGACAATTATTTAGATTTATCAAAGAAACTGGGGCAAAGGAGTCAATGACAAGTGAAATTATAGCGAAGAAGGATGGTTCTGCAATTCCTTCACAGGCGAGATAACTGTAACGATGTGAGGAACATTTTAAGCAGAAGTTCAACCGGCCTCCAGCTACTATTCCGTTGCCCACCATCCGGTCAGGTCTTGAATAGAACATCGAGATAAATCGTCCAACTCTTAAAAGCAGATGCAAAAGCCGTAAGTAACCTGAAACGAAAAAGCGTAGCACGACCACTTGGGTATTTAAAGATGGTGGTCAACAATTATTGGTCAGGTTAACTGTACGGGAGCCCGACATCATGACTTCTGACTGGTTTAAATCACTGACCGTCCCAGTCTTCAGGAAATCCTCCCGTGATAACAACAGGGGCATCAGTTTGATGAACATTGTGTCTAAGACTCTACAATTACCAGACGCCTAAGTAGAGCACGAGAACAACAAACTCGGGAAAACCAAACACGTTTCGGACATAATCGTGGGCATATTGACGAGATATTCACCCTCCATCAGGTTCTGGAACACAGGCACACTTACCAACGCCCGACACTAGCTATATTTTCTACCTGAAAGAGGCATTCAAATCCTTCTATCGAAAGGTCTTATGGCAGTGTCTCTCACTGAAAGGCGTGTCAAATATTAACCTATTGAAGGCTGCATATTTGAGCATCTATGGGCGTATCACAACCTAAAGTGAGTTTTGTACATCGGGTAGTGTCTATCAAGGGTGTTCGCTCTCTTCATTCTTACTCAACTTTATCACAGATATACTTATGCAGCCCACCATTTCGTCATCTAACTTCACAGAAATTGATGCAATAACGGGAAATTCTTTAGTAGATCAACATTACGCAGATGATGTAGTCCTGTTAGGTAAAGATGCTGACAAGAAACAGAGATTTCTAGATACCTTGAGTGGCAATTATAAAACGTCTTCGATGCATTTCTCGCCACCCAAATGTAAATTGTTGCTCCATGATTTGTCTTCACTGGTACCTCGCCTAACAATATAAGGTAAAATGGTTGAGAATGTTGACCACTTTATATATCTGGAAAGTCAAGACAGTCCTGGTGAGTCAGTGACCGACAAAATCTCCACACGAATACAAAGGTTTCGTTGACTTTCGGAAAAGTAACACCATTTTCGGTGCCGCCATGACATCCGATTGTCTATTTAGGGTGAAGTGCATTGTGTTGTATTTCATCCTGTCCTACTATAGATTGTGAAATATGACCACCAAGGTTGAAAGACATGAGAAAGCATCAGGCACTTGACTACCGTTTCCTTCGAAGGACAGGCCATTCATCACGGTGCCTTAACATCAGTGTTCGAATTTTCATCGATTGAAGTGGCTGAGACGTGTTACATACGCCTAGACAACCTCTGCCTTACCATGTAAAGTTAGGTGAAGTAGGTTCAGGTTGAAAAAGGTTTAAAGGGGGCCAGATTGAAACAAGTCATCACATCATGAAGTCTTTAACTGTTAGCCTGTGCTGTATAGGGAAATGAAGACTTTATAGTTTGGATACATGTGACATTATTCAGTATCAATATCAGCAGGGCAGATACATTATTTTCATTTCAATGGACACGTCCGCTTTTATATACTTTTTTTTTATACAACTTCCATCTTGACGCCTTCTACCTCGATATGTTGTTATGAATTGTGGCTAATTAGACCGTTACACAGTAATGTCAGTTCTCATGTTGGCCGGCTGTTTCAACTACCTAGCGTGTTTGTAAGAACTGATAGCTAAATATGATCACAAACCAATCTTCATCGTTATCCACGGATGTAGGCAACCAGTAACAGCTTCAAAACATTCAATGGAATAAAAATGACACGATACTTAAGGCAGTATGTGTGTTTTGAACCGAGAGTTGAATAACATTTCTCCGAAGTAACAGAAATAAGTGGTTGCAGATTTCGGATGCTGTAGTTCAACATGAAACATTGTAGAACAGATACCTTCACTCCTAATTTTCTGTTTCAGCTCTCTAAATCTGTATAGACGTATTTCACTCTAATCTGTATTTCATTTTAATATATGGTTTTCAGTTTGCAACAGTAAGAAATGCGAAAACAAGAGGAGATGACTGAGTATCGCATACTGTTCTTTTCTATAACAAGATGAAGTATAAGTAGGGTCATATATCTAGATACTAATTGAATTTACAGACGCGTTTTGTTCCATAGTGAAATAAAAGGACATGGAAACTACAAACAACACAGGATTTGTTTCATCCTAATATTTAATTACAAGTGCTCAGTAAAATACAGCCTTCATCTATTCTAGTATTAAACTTACCAGATCTAACTCCCACACCAAACACAATACCACTGAATGTTTGTTGCGATCATTATACAGCGTATTTAATTCCAACATATCTAATCTATAAGCAAGTAGTTCTTCCAAAGGCAAAAAGACTTGCATCAGCAAAATGTCTCTTTAAATTCATAAGTCACTAATACTCAAGATGTGAGAGGTCGATTAAAACTTTCTCATCTCTTTAGTATGTCATTAATACTACATTTTTATGATAAAATCTCAAATACATTTGAAAGCCATTGAAATGAGTATTTTCTACCAATCGTTTCTAAAATACTGAATGGTACCACACGACTAAAACTATACAATGTAGTGCCCAAATAGTGACTATTCTGTTGTTTACCAGCCCCAGAATATCATGTTTTGTGTAATTGAAAAATGATGTACTATTTCAAGATCAGTAGGAGCGTGAGCCTAGACGTACATTGAATATTGAATCATTTTAGAGGAAAGAGGAATTCGTGTAAAATACTGACGTTATGCTAAGCATGATGGGTCTTTATTTGAGTGAAGTATCATTCTCTTCAACACATTTTTCAACGGCTTTAGGCTGTAAGTCCCCAAAAATTACTAACAGGATAATAAACCAACTAAGAATACCTTAAACAACTGACTACAACATCTGAAATCCCCTGACTATATGCTTTAATCAGTCAACTATGTAGACTGATGAAGCATCTTACTATGAAGCGAAATAATTCATCAAGACCACTTGATTTTGCTTCGTAGCATGAGCTGTGTTGAGTTCAAACTCAAGAGGTTCATCAAGTTAAATAATAAGCTTATAATTATCAAAGGAAATCTACTCCGATACACAACCAGTTCAGCAAATAAGCAAGTGTTATAACTCTTTTTTTACTGCATAGTATGAGAAAACAAATACAGAAGCGACATACACCATACGCGTTTGCATTTACCATTCTTATGAATAGAGTATCACAAATCTTAGCAGTAATAATAAGAAAGATAATTACGACCATAACAATAATAATTGCGTAGGCTCAAGTAAAATACATAACTGAGTGCAGGCAATGTGTACACATTCACCTAATTAAAGCATGCTTATTATATATATATATATATATATATATATATATATATATATATATATATATATATATATATATGTCAAATGTATCTCGTATGTCACGAAAATAATATTGTTTTGGAAGAAAAAATAGTAACAGCAGTAATATAAAAAAGATAAAAACCCAGTGTGCATAAAGAAAAACAGCGTACAAAACAAAAACTCGAGAGCACTACTACTACTACTACTACTACTGCTTAAGTCTTCACAGAAAAAACAAGAAAGCAGAGAAAAAGCACATAGCGTCCAATAAAAGTAAAATACATAATAATGATAATAGATAATTATATTTTCGCAGAAAGACTAAAAAACTTTCACCACTTAAAGGTAGTATATATTGAATCGAGGGAAACGTTAGCAATAGGTAAACCAGAAAAGCACGTATTTTGAGGAGGATGATAAGAAGAGAAGGAACATAAAAAGTAAAGGTGTATATATTACCTATAAAAATTGTTCCTTCATGTCTGTCTTTGTGTATGTGTTCACACAGTAAAAGCTGTTTGGAAGCACGTATCAAAAGGAAGAGGCATAATATAAACCATTGTGAAAAGCTTGAACAATGCAGTTAATCATTTATAATTTATCCGAAACAATATGTGTCATGAAAAGAAATCGTTTTTTGCTATTGACCAGCACGTTCACGCATTTTATCTAGTAGTTGAATTAGTTGAATGTCGAATCTTGGACGTTTACCAGGATCATCTTTTGTACACAAGTCGAATAAACGAACAATTCGATTGTCTAAATTCGATGGAATTGGAAGACGAAAATTTTCTGTGGTAATCTAAAAAATTGTAAAATATGAACAATTTTCAAAGAAAGTATGATGCATACGCTCAAATTTGTGGTGATTAATACGAAACTAATAAATAAATGTTGAAAAAACTATCTGTAGAACCAAAAAATTCTTTTTCAGAAACACTTAGGATTAAAATTAGTTCGTTAGTTCAAGGTGGCCAGATTAAAACATGGCACCTATGTATAAAGTCTCTGACTGTTGGTTTAAGCCATGTAGGACGATGCAGACTAGGTGGTTGGGGTCCGCCGGACAAGAGGAACCAGTGATTGGAGACTCTAGGTGATATGGCTCAGAACCTATGTGAGTGGCGCAGATGTATTCACACATTATCCTCATCTTAACAACGCTATACCGAATCTCACCATTTTGTCACTCCTCTTTCCTTTCTTCTCGTACTTTATATTTCTTTTGACTGCATTCACATATCTTCATCCTTCACCTCACCACCTTTCTACTTGATGAACTGACGTGAGGTGTGGCAACTCGGACCGTTACGCAGTAATGCCTGGTCCTATGTTGATAATGATTGATGGACTGATCGTTAGTTCAAGAAATTATAAATGAGAAGAAATTCAAGAGCAGTTCATACTCTACTATCTCTATATGCATAAAAGAGAGTGAAAAAGGGTTAGTGTGAGGCAGATGTGATAAAGTATGATCAATCGAACTGGACAAAATATTTCAATAGAATCTATAATTGTTGTCAAATGAGTTTTTAAAAATGTATCAAAAACTTTCAAACGACTCCTAACGAAGACTACAAGGAAAAGCTCACAGACTGTCGTATCCATTCATAACGATACAGATACATCCAACTAAGTTAAAATAAATACAACGAAATATGCAGTCTAGACATATCCATCTATAGATGTCTACTGTCTACCTCGATGTGCCATGCTAGGAGAAGTTAAATTAGGTTAGAAGAGGGTTGAGGGTAACCAGACCAAGACGTAGCACCAGTCGATCAACTTCCTGAGTGACGGTTTGAGCCGTATGGGAAATGTAGACTGACTGACTGAAGTCCCCGAGACAAGAGGAATCAATGGTTGAGGAATCTTGGTGAAATGGCTGGAAATCGGTCACAATGGCACAGATGTATCCACTCCTTGACATTTAAAGCTTAAGTGTTCGCTCCAACCTTTATCTTCAGTTTGTTTATTTACCCAAACAACTTGATCTACTTTGGTATCAGTCTTTTTCTATCCACGTGTTCTTTGCATACTACTGTGAAGTGTGGCACATTAGATCGATGCACCTATTTACGAGGTTTTACGTTGATTTTTCCAGTCAGTTAGTTAGTCAGTCATATAATCTTTCTTCACTTCTGGTGTATACATTGAAATAGTAAAATTAATGTTTTTATAAAATATACCATTACTATAACTAATCATTCAACATAGTGCATTTTAATCAATTACCAGGAGAAGAAAATATTTTCATGTACATTTTTAGGTAAGATGAATCATACAAATGCATACCTTCCAAAATTATAAACTTGCAATAATCAAAATCAAATCAATTAACTGATATTGTATATATAAAAATGTTTATTTGTATTAAATGATACGACCCACGGGTGTAGACGTTGAATTACGAACTGCTGAATCATGAATTAAAACACACTTCACGCAATTCAGCCCTGAGGCAACAACGTAATACTTTACGCTCCACCTCTTCACACACACACACACACACACACACACACAATAGACGTAGCTCATTGTTTAGTACACTATTCTTTACGGGGTTAGTGTATTATTGTCAAGTTACTGTTCATGAAAATTATCGTTGTATTGGTTACTTTGCCAATGTAATAAACAGTTATCAGTTCAAATAGAATACACTTCCAAATATGCATTTGAAAGTAATGTCATGATTTTTAATCTTGATCCCATCTATTAATTGTGTATCCAAAGATGCATACAGTTTACAACTGTATTATGTCAATCAAATTAGTTTCATATCTATACGATTTTCTGTATGACAAACAAGAACATAGGTGGAATAGCAGAAAAAATGTTAACACATAACACCACACATTAAGTCCAAAATGAAAAAAAATGTGGTTTTACTAGATGTGTAACAAATCCTTTCAGTGCAACGTCATTCTGAAATTTATTAGATAAGTGAATAACATATGCCAAGTAAGACGAAATGAACACCTTTAAATTCTATAGTAAGTTAGTGTGTACCAAGTAAATAAGAGTTGAGTCGCATAATCTTTAATTGTTGAAGATAAACTCCGCTAAACAGATAAAATACGAGTTATAATTGTATAGTAACCACAAGATTTATAAATCGTAGTCAAGTGAAAGTTTATTTTACGCATGAAAAGATAAAAAATAACAGGATTCTCTGTAATTCTGTAATTCTCTGTGTTAGGTAATGAAATACATGCATTGTATGAAGATTAATGGTACTGTCTGGTTGTTCAAACCTCAGTAGATGGAAGCGAACTTAAACCTATGGTGGTCAAGAAGTTCACATATTCACAAATAATAATAATTATAAGATAAACATAAATACAAATAATTCACTAGTTATGTAAACGAACAAGGCAATCAGAATAAAATCAAATAAGTAAAGTAAAATCTGTCATGAGGCAGTAAAAATAAAATTAAGCGATGACTTAAAATTCAGATGAGTATGGCAAACAAAATGGTTACATTAATATCAGTGTAAACAGGCCCTCCGACAAAAGCCGAAGTCCTGAATGCCATAAAACTGCTGAAACCCAGGAAAGCAGCGGGACCAGATGGAATTCCTCCAGAAGCGCTGAAAACAGACGCAGAGACAATGGCGAACATGCTCACACCACTACTGCAGAAGGTTTGCAAGCAAGTAAAGGTACCTGCATATTGGAAGAAGGAGTACCTTGTCGAACTCCCAAAAAAGGGAGACCTAAGCCTTTACAAAAAACTGGTGAGGAATAATGCTACTGTCCACCTCAGGCACAATATTATGCCGCATAATACTGGAGGGACTAAACAATGCGTTGGATTCAAAACTACAGTCGGAACAGGCTGACTGGCTTCAGGAAGAACAAATCATGTGCACATCAAATTCCAACGCAACGCTACACATCATCATAGAACAGAGCATAGAATGGCAGTCAACCCTCCACCCTCTACCTCAACTTCATCAACTTCCAAAAGGCCTTCAACAGCATCCACCGAGAAGTAATTTGGCAGGCAACTGCATCAACACTACGGCTTCAGTACTACAAATCTTTATCAACCTCATTCAACAACTATATGAAAAGGTCACATGCCAAGTGATTCACAATGGAATGCTCAGTGATGCTTTCCAAGTAAACACAGGAGTAAGATGAGGCTGACGCCTACTATCACCAATCATCTTTCTCATTGTGGTCGACTGCAATGCATCATACAACAGATAGCTGTGAAGGGGGAGAAGAGGAGTACACGCTATTCCGTCGATGAAAAGAGTCTAGAAGATTTGGATTTCGCCGATCATGATTTATGTCCGATGTCCTCTTGCACAAACTCGAAGATCTACAGGCGAAAACCAACAAGTTGACAGAACAGGCAGGGCAGAGAAGGAAGACGGGACTTCCTCCAAGTCAATGTACAGAAGACAGAGGTGATGAAGATACCCAACCAACAACAACATCAACGACAACAGACATCAATCACCACTAACGGAGAAACCTAAACGAAGCAGTCTCTTTCAGCTACCTCTCCACCCAGGAAGCATCGTTTCAACTACACACGGCACACGCACAGATGAGGATGTCGAAGCCAGGATCGGAGGGACAGCAACACAGGCCTTCATTACTCTGAAATCACCATGGACATCCACTGCACTGCACTGCACTGCATTCAGCATAAAGCCTCAACCAGATCCAGATTTTCAACACCATTGTCAGTCGAATCAGTGCTTCTCTATGTGATACTTGAGAGACTTGACGCGTCACGAAAAGCATTTCCAACAAACTACAGATATACATCATAAACAGCTGCCGTCTACACTGGCTCCATACTGAAGATCAGATTGATGGTCAGAAAGAATAAGCAACAAGGAACTCTGGTCTGGTGACGAACCAACCAAGAACCATTCGCCCAACAAATATGCATAGTAAAAAAGTGGAGATGGATTGGGCATACACTGAGAAGACCGACTGGTGACATTACACGCCAGGCCAGGTCAGGCCAGCCAGGCCCTCGAGTGGAATCCAAAGGGGAAACGACGAGTTGGGCGTCGAGGCGAGGGTGATATGGAGGAGATCATGTGAAGAAGAAATGAGAGCTTGTGAGCAGTCGTGGAGCCGGGTTGCGAAGACTTCAGAGAAGAGAGTGTAATGGAGGCGTGCTACTGAAGCCCTATGTTCTACTAGGCACCCAAGGGTAAAATAATAATAATAATAGTATCAGTGTATAACTTGGGCACCATGGTAGAATTTAATTCCATATTAGATTTGCTTGTTTAATTTACTAGATGATGTTGTAAGCACAAATTATTGTTCATAATGATATCAATGTAATCACGCACTACTTTCGATACCTGATTTCTATAGTCCTGTCATCTCATATTATTTGTTTTTATTGGTAGTAAAATTCTCCATATCTCTGGTATAGGCGATGCGTCACTTCTATTACATGTGTTGGTTGTTGGTTGATTCGATGAACAAAGATTCAGTAATCAATCTCTCTTCCCCTCCACCTAATTATATTGAACTTAAGTGCAGTGGCTTTGTCCCACCCTATTGTGTGGTTGTGTGTTAACGGATGCACTGCAATAGCCGATTTTTTTTTCCAGATTATTGATCTTATTCGGGTTTGTCATTCTATATTTAACTAAGTTCCTATGACCTGCTATTCTAATTGACCCCGACTAGCTAGTTTGACCTATGTACTTGACCTCGCAGTCAATACACGGGATTTGACAGATCAGATTATTTTGCTTAATTGGTTCTATCGGATCATTAAGCCGACAAAGCTTATCTCTGAGTGAGTTGGTAGGTT